TCAGTACCCTATACCCAAAAGTCATGTCCTCTGAAACACATCAGCCTGGTAGTTCCTGCCTTGAAATACTTCCAATGAGTCTTCCTGTGCATAAGGGTACAGGGCCCCTCTGCCTAACAAGAACTTCGGACCATCAGCTTTATTGCCAGAGTGGCAGAAGCCTTTAATCTTCCTGCTGGGATCCTCCACCAGAACTGTGTACTGAAAAGCCTTAGTTTTGTCCAGATATAATGTTAGAGCCATTTTGAATATAGTGAGAGAGGCAAGGCAAAGGTAATTTTGTCTGGTAAGGAACCTGGTGGCTGGCTAACAGTTGTGAAAAGTAAATTGAGAGGGGGAGAGCTTACTGGAGTGGATTGTAAACTTTCCTTTTGCACCAAACTGTGGTCTTCCCAGAAGTGGTAAGGAAAGCTTTACTTGACCGAGAAATTACTTGGTATAGTTTTAGGGTCTGTTCAATTTACCGTGGATAGCACTTACCCACCAGTAATAGAGCATTGCATTTTTAGGTTTATAGCAACTAAGAGACCCTGGGGTAGGGGGGGCAGAGGTTAGAAAATGATGTGTTGGGCTGCTAAGGGATAAGTTGCGTGGTAACTTTTAAACACAGATTTACCATTAAGATTTATTTTCTTGTAAAAGGCAGGGGAAGAGGAACTAAAAGTGGACATAGGCCAGAACCTGGCTGCAGGAGTCTTTTTTTTTTTTTTAAGTGTGGTATCACTCCAAAAACTAGCTGTCTGGGACATTTGCATGAACATACATCTATTTAAAGTTGGTCTTCAGCTAGATAGGCCTTGTTTATTCTGCTGGAAGTGGCTCAGATGTGGGGGTTCCCCAGGAATTGTGGAGTATATAAAATACTTTAACTTGGTTGTTCAGGACACATAGGTCCCAGAGTCTGTTTCTTTGACCAATAGGATTTTCTACTATAACTTTTACCTATATCTATCCAGTTACTAACTGCCCTTTAACAGACAACTTATGTACACAGGTTGATGATTAAACACTGGAAGTTAATTTTTGTAATTAATCGCTTTCTTAAGTATTCAAATTTTGTTTAAAAACTGCAACAGCTTCCCCTTACCTTTTAACAACCATTCTTATAGTGAAAGGTACGAATGCACTTATCCAAACAGCTGGTACTATGTGCCTGGTTGCTGCTTTCAGTTCCTAAACCGAAGCATAGGATTAATTTTTTTTTAACATTTCAGCTGGTGGAAGTTAAGGGTCCCAATGATCGCCTCTCCCACAAACAGATGATTTGGCTGGATGAACTGAAGAAGCTGGGAGCTGCTGTAGAAGTTTGTCATGTGGCTGCAGTTGGAGCTAAAAGTAAACGCCTAAGTTGAATAAAACTGTCTCGAACCTGTTGGATGGGGAGAGGGGAGAATTGACAATTTTTTAAAAAATAAGAAAATGTGCTAATGGTTGCCTCCTATTTTGAGAACCTGCCACCAAGGACATTAGATAAATGTTTTTATTAGGTCCTGACTAATGGAATTTTTAAGCCAGGTGCTTGTTTTGATAAAGAACGAACAGGTTTTATTTACTGTAAATCAGGTCTCCAAAGTGGAAAAAGAGCTCAACGTTTTCTTCTAAGTAGAACAGAGGTGACATAGGGGATTTTAACTACCAAAGGTAATCTGGCAGCTGTGCCTACATTTCAGCTGTCTGAATGTAATCAGATGTGCCCCAAACTGCCATAACTCAAAGCGTGTTTTGTAGGAAAAACAGGAGGATCCTTCCCTTCCTCACCTCCCTGCAATCTAATTTGTGCCCCCCCCCCCCTTTTTTTTTTCTTATTTCTTTCTGGCTCAAGGTTCATCTGCAATCTTGGGCAGATGTGCATGAGCAAACTAGCTTACGGTCATGCCTGCATTACTCAGGCAGCCACCTTATACCCCCATGGCTATACTGATATTTTTAGTTTACTAAATCAAAGCTAGCTAGTAATTACACACCACTGGATGGTGTACCATGTGAGAGAGATCCTTCAGCATATTAAAATGTTAAGGCTAGTGGGACAATGAGAAGAGCTGAGTGTAGTAATGGCTCCCATTAACCATTTTTGATTTATAGACAGTTACAGACTTGCTTAAAGCTGATGAGTCTGCTCACCAGGTGATAGGAGCTCACTGTATGCTCCTGTTTCTTCTGAGATCTAGAAAAATCCTTGATATTTTGGAAGTGATTAGATGCACTGTTCACTAGTTTACAGACAGATGTGCCATCAAATTGACTGTATGGTCTCACGTTGGTGCTCAACATGGTTTAATTGACTGAGCAAATTCTGATCTTAAATGCCATTAAGTATACTTGCCCATGAGACCAACACCAGTCGTCCCACTTCCATGCATGGAACATTGGCAAGTTACTAGCTAATGGGGAGAGGGACAAGGGATTGCAAATGTTCAGTTTACTAAGAATTAAGGTGATAATACTACTGGAGAATTTCCAACTAGGTTAAGTGGAGGCTCAGACTAGACATACAATAAAATTAAGCTTTTAAGAGAAGATTTTAAAATGTCTTTCTGTATTAACAGTGACAGTTTATAGGGGGGGTGGAGTACAGGAGTAAGAAAATGGAGATGTAGTGATTGATGTTGTCCATTGTATGATTGATGCTTTTGAGGATAGTATTGCTACTTATGCTATATATTAGCATGACTTGAAATGATTATTCCCTTAAAGGGACAAATGCTACGGTACCTGCATACCCAATATTGAATCAAATTTGCAGCTAGTTAGATGGCTATGTATTACATCAGTACATACGGTGGGTATTTTCTGTAGTAAGCATAGGGAATCCACAACTCCAGAGATTACTTCCTTCGTCTAGGGCAAAACAGTAACAAGAAAGATCTTTCTAACTCCTCAATAAGGATGGCAACAAAACAAAGTTACTTCACACCCTGTCTCTATGTCTAACCAAAGTAGGTTATTTGAGCTTGAAAAGGTCACACAAATAATGAAAACATTCTCAAATCAAGAAAGAAAAAAAAAGTAAGATGGGCTACATAGAACAAATACTGCTTTGTAATCTTTCTGCAGACTTCTACTCCTGCACCATTTTTATTAAATCAGTAAAATAAACAGAATTACAGTGGAAAGGTATGATCTTTATTAAGTCTAATTTACTTCACATTCACAACCTCAGTGCCAGGGTTTTGTATTCCTCCTGGCAATTCTACTTTATTCAGTAAGTCATCAGCATTAGGCACAAAGGTTTTAGTTTCAATTAAAATGGTCAAATCTGTAACCTGCTGCAGCAACACCATTAGCAATCTATTGCCCAAAGGGATTTAGGAAACCAGTTGTTCAGTCTCTTGTTGGATGTAGATTGACATTTTATCCTTTCCTTAAATAAAAAGATTAGAAATTTTTTGGTTTTAATATATCTTTCCATCTGAGATTAACAGCCAAAACCTTTGATCCTACAACACACATCATTAAAAGCACAAAGGTGGTTTAATATTAGAGTGGTATTTTACCTGCATGTTTAAAAAAAATACACACACTTACTTCAGTAGGTTTCTAAATTTGTAGGCATTTCTTTGGTACATGGCAGCAATTCACTGAAAGACATTGCACTACCATGACTTCTGACAGCAGCAGTAGCTAAAGGCATTAGAGTTGTTCTTTGACCACATCAACCAGCATTTCATATCTCACTAGGTATGTTCTTAATATTGTTACAGTCTAGCAAAATAATCTCGATACAACAGCCTACTATCAACCAAAGCAGTGCATGTGGTTAGAAAACAAACGATATAAAAATAAGCTTGTTTGTTTATAGTTTTTCTACTCTTACAAAACACTAATGGTATTAATAGTACCTAATTTTAAAATTGCCAACAAGACTTTAAAGAGATGTGAGCTTGTGTGTAGGAAAGGTAGCTGTAGATATGTACTCAGTCCGCAGAGCTACTTGCAAGACATAAGGGCCATTAGGTAAGTTCAGAGCAGTCGGTATTGTCAGTAAGGCAGCTTTTTACAGTGGGACATGAATGTATTAGTTTACACAGTTGGGCAGGTCCTGAACTATACATTATTAGGAACTGCCTTTCAACCATACATTAAAACAAATCCATAGGAATGATTAGTACTCAGAATCAGGCCCTAAGGATGAAACAACAGATTTTTAGAGTAACCTGGATACCACTAACATACATAACACACCACTTGTGGTTGCTTAGCCCCCAAATTCTGAAAACTACCCTATTCGGGTTGGTAAACAGAGATTTAGGCAGTTTTTTTTTTTAAAAGGCATAGTATTTACCAACAAGAACATCTGTATCATGTAAAATACAGATTATTGTATGAACTGAAAATACAAGCTAGAAATCCTTACACAAGTAGTTCTTTTACTCTTTTTTTAAAGATTAAACAGCCCAAATATTAACACAGTTTCCCCCAAGTACTTATTAAAGTAATTTACTCACCAAACTTTGTTAATTCTAAAATGGACTCTTATGAGCATTAACCGTTTTAGGAAATCTATTTTACTGCTCATCCCATAAAAACTGTCAAATTGGTTTATTAATTTTAATATATGGTACCAAAAATTAGCACACAGGTTGAGGTCTTGTATATCAAGTATCAGGCCCAAGATAACAGAAAGCGAACCTGTTCCAACAGACTTCTGAGTAATTTTTACTTATTCTAGTATATCTCAGCTATTTTGAGGAAGACTTTGCAGAAACCAGACCTTCTTGGGGAAAAAAAAAAATTGGCTACTATAATTGTGGCACATTGATTGAAGTGTTCTGCTCAGCTTCAAGTAATGTTTCTTCAACCAAAAAAATGGGAAAATACCTAACCAGCTCTTGCCTGTTGCAAAACAAGGTTTTTTTTAAAATCTGTTTGGCAAAAAATGATTTCTCATTTTTCAATCTGCTTTATCTTTAAATTTGGGGGGGGGGGGAGGAAGGGGGGGGTGAGGAAACAAAAAGAATACATCCCTAACTTATGTGTAGTGTGTTTGGGGGGGGGGGGGGGGGGGGGGGAGAGACTTTCCCAGCACAACCTCCACTCCTATAAATGGACACATAAGAAACAAAGTAGTTTTAGGAGTGGTAGAATAAGGTTCTTTATTTTCTGGGACTGACAGGAAATCAGTCTTGTTTTAGGCTAGAGAAAATTTCCCTGCTAATTTGCATATTGTCATTTAAGGTTTCTGCTGTTCAGAAGGCTAACTGGCTTTTTGGTGATTTCCAGAGTTTGTTTTATGAATTAAATTATGTTTTAGTGGGCAGTTCATTAACCTATTGAAAAACAAATATGTTTCATGGTGTGTTAGACACATCTTACTAATATTTTATTCCAATTAAAGGCACTTCTAAGGCTACAATATTATTCTCTACAGTGAACATTTTAAGGTTAACAGTGCATATTGTCCTGAAGTCAGTTCCTGTGAACTAAATGCAAGCTCATGACATTGAACAAAAATTTGAATAGTCTCTCTAAAGGGTAACTGAAAACAAAAACCAGTACACACTGCACCAATGCAACATACACTAAGTAAACCAAATCACAGAAAGATAGTATGGAAGCATATAAATGTGTCCTTACTACACGTGTACTGTGACAAAGTAGTTTGTTCCCAGATTTCTACAACTGCCAGTCAATATGGCTACATTAATGCAAAATGTCCTTGATGTTTGTTTTCACCAATCTGATTTGCTAATCTGTGTTGACATAAAAGATTAGCTTCAGTCAACAGTTGGGAAAACAGACATTGCAAACAAAAAGAAAACCTGATTAGTGACCACACCCAACCTTTGCATTAGTGAGTGAAATCGCTGATCTTACATAATGAGCCAGACCTAGAAAACACAGAAGAAATCATCAGAAACCAGACAAGAAGTTTACATGACAACTACTGAAAACAAAATTGTGCGATTTGAAGCATGATTTGCTTTGCTTTTAAATATTTGTGCAAAACTTATGTAATATTTGTAAATAAAATTATTACAGCTTCAGATGCCGCAGTTAGCAGTGTTAACTTAAGAGAAGACACAATGGTCTGCGATTTCCCCCCATATGTTTAAGCATCACAATGTCTTAGTCCTCATTTGCAAGCGTCTCAGTGGACAGCCAGATTTTGGCACCACTTAGAAATTTACTTAAGGGTGTTCCCAGAATGCTCCGTCTGCATAAGTTCCCTATTGGAGAAAATGGGAATGAGGAGGAGAGAAAATCTGGGGTCCCTGCATTGTCATTTAAACCATTTGCTCTGAAGTACATCCTGCTTTGATCCAGTTCTGAACAGTTCGCTTGCAAAGAAGAGCTGCTTTTGTACTGCCGAAGACTCTGGTTTAGCATGTCTACTTGGTCTGTCAGCACAGAGATTTTATGGAAGGCAGTGATGAAGCCACCATTATTAATTTGGGCCTCAGGAACCCAGCGGAAGTAGCAAAGTTTCCACAGTTTTATGTGAGTTCCAGACAGACGGGGTAGAATTACACCATGCAAGTCGACAGGCTTTGAGAACCATTCTCTGAAATACTGCTCCATGCTATTGGTCTGGCTATCCATCTGCTGAAGAAAGTCTGGTTTCAGTTTTAGTATCAGTGAATTTCTTCTTGGAAGAAACTCTTGCTCGTTGATGATCCCATTCTTTAACGATGGGGGGATTCCTCTCAGTGTTGAGCTGTAGTTTTTCTGCAGAAAAAGATATGAAATAAACATGGTTAATTTTCCTCAGATTTAGTCTGCTGCAGCTGGCGGTGTTCATGTGTGCCTACAATTCTCCACTGGGGGACTAGAAGTGAGGCATCCTTTCACAGCCATAGTAAAGTTGTGAGTCTAATCACTGGGGTGGCTTTCATGGCAAATAATTTGACTGTTCATGACCTAATAAAATAATTGTAAATAAATTTTAACTGAATTCTACAATATTGAACAATGGAAACAAATCAGTAGTCTATGAAAAAACTCTAAGGATCTATGAAATAATATGGAAAACTGTGTTAATCCAAAGCACCGTTATATCACACAATAGCTGCAGTGATGCAGTAAGTCTCTCTTGTGTCAGCAGTAAGCCCAAGCATACCAGAGAATGCACTGGAAGCCATATGGTCCAACACTCGAGAGCGGTACCTCTAGAGAAATTCATTTTTAATGCCTTATCTATAGGCTGGGACATCAAGCAATAATGGCACTGTAACTAAGCTGCTAAAAGGAGAAGTCCATTGGCAGAAGTTTGATTTCAATGTAATTCTGTTACCTTTGTTCGTTTAAAACTTTTCACAGACCCATTTTGTACACATGGTGCACTCTTTCCAATATACCAGGGGTTGTGAAAAAGCATGCGATCTCTTGTTGCAAACTGAAGAGACCAGTCCCAAACGGAAGGAAATTTTAGGCCTTTTTCATCACCCAACTGGATGTTTTTGCTTATAGCGAATTCCTGCAAGAAGGAATATTCAGACATATTAAAAACAAACTAATTTAATTACTTACAAATCTAATTATTGCATGTAGCTCAGAAAGCAGGGGGCATGGCTTACAGCGTGGGTGGCTGTAGACCAAATGTCAAAGTATATAGGGCAACCAAGGTGACCACTGCAGGAGGACAAACGAATCCTGGTTGTTTGTTAAGTGGGTGGCAATGCTCGGACACAGCTAATGTTTAGTTGATGATAACCACATTTCCATAATTTTTAACGTTTATTTGCTTTTTAAAAATGAAACTTCTAAGCTTTTATTTCTATGCTAACTTGTGTTTGAGAAAACAACGAGGGGGGGGGCACTGAGAGAACACTGGTAAATATTTACAATCTTAATTCTAAGTTAAAGAATTTTGTTTTTGTGTTGGTGTATATTAGAATTTACTTGCACTGTTCTAAGAGTCATTGATTCTTTTAAGCAAAGTAAATTGTAGAAGAGTGGTCTGAGAAACATTTAGATCTCCTGGTTTTTGTCCTACCCTGGGAGATGCATGTGACAAACTGTTCTTTACCCTGCATGCAGCGTATACAAGTCTCCCATTTTTGTGTGTGCTTCCTCTGAAGGTTGGGATTTTTTTTAAGATATCAGGAGGTCCTTTTTAGGTTTAAGCACTGCTTTTCTCTCTTTCTGTATAAATAGTACTTGATCACTATTACTCAGACTTTTAGCATTCTTTTTATAAAGCTGTCATTGGGTATTTTAAAATCATTATGTGCCCATGTCACAAGAGATTTCAAAGTTTGTCTGTAGCTTTAGATACCATCCAAGTCACTGTCAATCATGTAGATGAAAGGAAGCTGCATACTAATCCCACTGCAAGTATGCAGCACTCTTATGGGAGTACAGATGAAGGAAACGATGAAGCACTTGTTAATAATGCTATTTTAGAAATAAGGTAAGTACCTTCCCCTCCCCCACCACAGACCGTTTCCATTTTCAGTATACGCAAAGAGCATTGCAGGGACAATCTGATGAACACTCATCGTGCACTGAATATTTTTGCTCAATATTTCTCTTAAAAGCTCATGTTGCAAATGTGACATCATTTTGCAAAAGTGAATAAATGCCATTTAGTTTAGATTGTGGTTTTTTCCCCCCGCGAAAGACTCTGGCCTAAGATCAATTATTTTAAAGGTAAGGGTAACACTTCTTCATACTCACCGTGCTCTGCTTTACTCGCTGGTGAGGACAGTTGAAAAGGAAGGTGCCAAACAATGAGATCCGTGTACTATCATACAATATGGTCAAATATGTTTCAGAAAACTCAAAGGCTGATGGATATTGTTCTAGCAGTTGCCAAATCGAGTCCAGAAACATCAAGAACAAGGGAGACTTGAGAATAAATGGACATAATTAGAAGTAACATAACCTTTGCCAAAACCTTACCAACTTGTTACCCCCAACATCCTCATTAGGGTACCTAACAACAAATTTAGTATGCTCCTCATAGGGAAGGGAAGTTTGTAGCTAAACAGAAGTCACATAGAATCTATAATACAAATACCCAATACCCAAGTTTAGCATTTTCACCCTCATGACGATAGAATATGTGATTCTATGAATCGGATAACTCAGGAAACTGTAGTAACATAAAGTGACAGAACAGGTTGATTTCATGTGCTGCCTGTGACGTTGTGCAGTCTATATGGTTTTATAAAAATTTGACAATAAGTGAATATAATGCAACTGGGATATGCTTCGTGCAAAAGGTCTCTTGTAAGGTATCATTACAAAGTGCATAATCTACTAAGTATGATCATCTGATTTGTATAAATGTACCACTCTTGTATCTAAAACTAGAAATATAAAATGTAACTCTGAGGGCCTATTGTAATTATGTAAAGTGTGGGCCATTAATGATGGTTTGGAATCTTAATGACTCCCATTGTCTGCAGATGGCTGTTTACCTGTGAGTCTCCCTGTATATGTGTGTGCTGGCAAGTGAGTAATGAAGTCTTGCAGTGACATGTAATCATGTCACCTGAACTGGAATCCATCTTTAACCTGGTGCTTTTCCAGTGAGGGGGGGTGGAAACCCAGAGAGACAAAGGATTCCCACCTTATGCAAAAGATATATAAAGGGGTGGAAGAGAAGAGAGAGGGAGAGGAGCCATCATGGAGAAGCCCCTAGCTAACACCTAAGCTGGAACAAGAGCTGTACCAGGGGAAAGAATTGTGCCCAGGCCTGGAAGGTGTCCAGTCTGAGAAAAACTTACTGAAGCATCTCTGAGGGTGAGATTATCTGTATTTAGTTTGATTAGGCATAGATTTGCGCATTTTATTTTATTTTGCTTGTGACTTACTTTGTTCTGTCTGTTACTACTTTGAACCACTTAAATCCTACTGTCTGTATTTAATAAAATCACTTTTTATTTAGTAATTTACTCAGAGTATGTATTAATACCTGGGGGAGCAAACAACTGTGCATATCTCTCTATCTGTGTTATAGAGGGCGAACAATTTATGAGTTTGCCCTGCATAAGCTTTATGCAGGGTAAAACGGATTTATTTGGGTTTAGACCCCATTGGGAGTTGGGCATCTGAGTGCTAAAGACAAGCACACTCCTGTGAGCTGTTTTTGGGTAAACTCGCAGCTTTGGGACAAGTAATGCAGACCCTGGGTCTGTGTTGAAGTGGACTGGAGTTTCTAATTCAGCAAGACGGGGTGCTGGAGTCCTGAGCTGGCAGGGAAAACAGAAGCAGGGGTAGTCTTGGCACATCGGGTGGCAGCTCCCAAGGGGGTTTCTGTGATCCAACCCGTCACACTGCCAACGAGTGTAAGCGGTACAAAGGAATTATAGTATCAACATCATCTCCAGACTTAAATACCAAATTTTGTGAGGGGGGTGGCGGGGGGGGGAGAAGAGGAAATATTTTGAAGACTACATTTTTCTCAGTCTGTGTTCTCATTCAAACACAGATTTAAATTGTTACTTCTACAATCAGAAAACCTCTCTGTAACAAAACCACAGAAAGGCTGTGACCTGTAAATTATAGTACTTGGAAAGGGGAGGTCTCTTTCCAGCCACATTTAGAATCATTGTGTCTATTTTCATAACATTTCAGTTGAAGTTTAGCTTACAAAACAAATGACCCATCTTTGCTGAACTATGAAGGAAGAAAAGATGGTTGGTTTCTTTTTAAATTTAAAATGTGCTCTGAAGCCATAAATTAATACTGGAATTTGCTCAGAGCAGCCACTCCAAATCTTGGTAATAACTGTCTGGGTTGTGGGGTTGCAGATAAATTAAGATGAGCTTAATGATATCTGGAGTAGCTTAAACTATCTAAAATCTAACTGAATACCTATTTTTTGCTATTCTTCCTTGGTCATGGGCTCAATGCAGGAACCACCTGGTAAAATTGTATGGTCTGTGCTATTCAGGAAGTGAACTAGATGATCATAAATGGCCCCTTCTGGCATTAAAACCATTGATTCTATGAGTCGTAAAAAATGTTAATTTCCATTAAAAAACTTTAATGAGGTCAAAATATACTACAGAAAGAAAAAACCCACTGGATGCAGCTGCTAAGGTGGAGAGGAAATTCCAAGAGGCGTTTATATACATTTTTTCAGCTTTAGCAATATTTTATTTAACTTTTTCCTTTCAGATATTTCCTAACTTTTTTTTGCAGCGTGAACCAAGATTCATCTCAAAAGAACATCTCAGTGGATCATAATTACAAAACACCCTTGCTCCAAATACAGTAATCCTATGCATGACAAAGTATTGGGAAAGTAATGAATGTTTTCTGTCTATAGTGCAATGAGTGTCTGGAAAGAAGTTAACTGTGCTGTCTCTTTCTGCTCTTTGTTTTTTCAACCTCTCGCAATCTCATCTGCTCTTCTCCCCCATTTTCCACATGTTTTCCTGAGCCTGGGTTGTCTTTTTTTCCTATTCTTTTGCCTAACTGCATTATTTCCTTTGCTCCTAGACATGTTCTTTGCTGCTGGTGCATGGCAGCTCTAATCCTGCTAGTGGCTGAGGGGGTTTTCTTTTTCTTCTCCTTGAGTGCCACCCCAAGACACACTGTTAGGCTGGCTCCTCCTTGTTTCCAGCTGATTTTACAGGCCTCCAGTCTCTTTGTTGCAGTGTAGCGCCTGCAATACCGTAGAAGTGTCTGAAAACCACCAAAGCCAGGTACCATGTCGCCATCCACCAATTCGTGAACCACCACCAAGTGAGCCATAGATTGCAATTTGAAAACTGCAGAACAGACTATATACCGTGCTTCACATGCTTCTTTATCAGACGGGTATTGTGATAACTGCAGACGCATACTGGTCTGGCTTTGTATGTAAAAAAAGGGGGTGAGGAAATGAACAGGTGCTGTTGAAAAGAGGCTCCTGAGATCCTTGCTGGGTCAAAGTCTTGGGACCCAATGGTTAATTATTGTAAAACATGGGATAAGACAGAATAAGCCTTTTCAAGTCTAACATGATTATAACATCAATATCAACAGTGACATTTGATTTCACCAAGTGTATTAATGATTCTTATACAACAGTTGAGGATAAAAAGGAGATTCATCTGATTAATGATTATTCTTTTTTTATACATTAGCTTCCTATCTTTAGAAAGTATTGAAAAAATTCACATTAAAATTTTGGACATTAACTTATGGGGTCAAGTCATTTCACTGCATGCAAGTGATCTAGCTATCAAAACAACATAATTACCTCTTTGTCAGCTCTTTTTAAGTGGTTACACCTATCTAGAAACTGATATCCTGCCATGACCCATTCCTTCTGTATCAGGCTCTGAAATCCAACAATTGTCCGAAAATAGGGATCCAGCATTACTTGAATGAGGGAGGCTACGAAACAGCTCAGGTCCCGTCCTTCGTCCTCTATGGAAAACATTAAGAGCATTTGAATATATGTGTATATAATTAAAGAGGTCAGAGGGCAGAAATTGGTCATTTGGATTAGTGTTCTCCTTCTAGTGAATTTCAAAATACACTATCTCGAGACTGTTGTGTTTCAATATAGTCAGAAACTTTATCTCAGTGAACCTCACACTATAGTTAAGATTCCCAACTATATACAGTACTGATATGTGAATAACCCTTACTCAAGAATAACCTGCTATGTGTTTGTCCAAAAAACCAGATGCCTACCATTTGAGATGGGCTGAAATGGAGGGAATCCAAATTAATGGAGAGCTTCCAAACTCTCTTTTTGACCTAGAGGTAGTCTGAATTGGTATGGAGTACTATTTTAAATACCATTTCTGGCATTACTACCTCCAGAAGGAATTTCAGAGTCAATGAATCAACACTGCCCGACACTGAAGTAATTCTTAGAAGTAGCACATGATCTGGGGAATGACCAAGACAACATCACATGCCAAGATAATGTAGCTAGAGTTGACAAACATTCTGATCTACAAACTCACTGGTCTACAGTTTTGATCTGATCACATCAGATGTGCATTATCAGAAAAAAAAAAAGGGAGGAGGGGAAGGGGAATATTACCAGGTACTATTGGCTCTGTTACAATCCAGGTACAGTAAACTATAGGGAGGGAATTTTATTAAATGAAAATATTTTAAAATCATTGCCTTTCAACACTTCAGTAAAGTACACAGATCACAAATGTAGTTTACCAAACCACGCTTTAACATTCCAACCTACGAATCATGACAATTACAACATGCTATACAATTATATTACCTTGCAGAACTACTGAGACATGCTTACTGTCCAGCATATATACAAGTTCAGCAGAATGCTTAAGGAATGATCTAGGCAAAAAGAAAAAGTGGTTTAATTTAACAATTAAGACTACAGATACTGCACATTTTCTAAGAAATGAGGACAGGATTTTCAAAAATACTTAAGGGGTTTAGGAGCACACATGCCAGTGACTTTCATTGGGATCTATGCTCCTAAGTCACTTATGCACTTTTGAAAATCTCATCCCAAATCTAATATATACTCAAGTAATATAAAAATCTCAACTGTTTCCAACAGGACTGTAGTACCACAGAAATACCTCTTAATTGTACATTTGTCCTGGTGCCCATTATTGTCCTGATCCTGCAAAGATTTGTGTGTGTGCTTAATTTTTAGCATACAAGTCCCACTGAAGTAGTTAAAGTTAAGCATTCACTTATGTCTTTTCAGGATTCAGGTGAACACAGACACAGAATGTTTAAGTGTGTAAACCTTGAGAATCCCTGTATATTTATCTCATTCATTTTACAATATACAAATCCCATCTGTATTTGTTTTATTGCATATTTACATTGGTGAAAAATTAAGGACACATTATTAATGATTACTTTCTTGTCATAATATTTGTACGTACCTGACATACTCTAGCCAACGAGTATTTTCCAGTGAGGATAACCATTTTTCTTCCGTTTCTTCAAAAGGTTCTGCAGCAAGAAGAGTAGGAATGTCTGGGTGCATTTTTAAATAGCCATTTACTTAAGCTAGTTTTGTTACCCTTAGCTATGCTGCCCATAATTTTCCACAAGCCTTTAAATCTGCAGTTGAAGGCACTTGGTACACCATCCCTCAGAAAAGCACACAGACTATTTTATGTGCTTACCTCATGCTCGATTATACCTTAGGTCTCAAAGAGGAGTAAGAGAATGTAGATCTACAGAAGCTATATTATAATATACATACATGAACGCACTTTATATAGAATTTCAATTCCAGGTAAGTTAGTTGCTTCCTAACAAAGTTTGACACATTGCTTTCTTGAAACCATATCCCCCAATGCCTCAAAAACAAACAAACAAACAAACAAACAAACAAACAAACAAACAAACAAACAAACAAACAAACAAACAAACAAACAAACAAACAAACAAACAAACAAACAA